TCCCTCTCTGAAATCAATAAAAATACATGTTGGTATTCCTTGGTTGGCAACACTTTGTATATGCCACATACCACTGCTGGGAGAATTAAACTGTCCCTGCGTCTTCACGGGGAAAGGAAGTTTGTGCCTGGTTTCTCCTAGACTCTGCCCTATGTGACTTTTCCATTTGCTGATTTTAATCTGTATCCTTCACTCTAATAGACTATAAATATGAAAATAATAGCTTTTCTGGGCTCCATGAGTCCTTCTAGTGAACCACTGAACCTGACCATCGTCTTCGAGAATCCCTGACACACATATGTTAACATGGGACAAGAGTAAAAATATTAAATAACTTGTGCAAAAAATATTTAAGGGGCAATGAATTCCATAGTTGCTATTCTGCCCATTGTCAAATAACAGCATCTAATATAATTAGTTAAGGTAACGAAATTTATAAAATATCTATTTGACAGCAAAACTCAACTTTGATTCAATACCTCATCTCTTAAACAGTTTTGGTTGTTGTTGTTTTTCTAATCCACAATAAGCACAAACATTTCAAAATAGGTTAAAATAAATTTTTATTTAAACTTTTTATTAAATGTTAGAAGAAACTTATACACAATTAACAAATTTTGTATAAAACAATTGCCAATTTTTACCCAATTGTAATTGTTTCTATGCAGAATTGCAAATTTTGTAGTGAAACAGGGTCTACAAAATATTTATTTTAGGAAGCTATCAAAATGCTAATCTTAGGCAAAATAATGTTTAAAACTGAAATCTATATACAAGTGAGTGAGGTCTCAAACACCCGTATTCTTTGTCCCAGTGACAAAGTAATGGAAAAATGAACATTAAACTGACTTGCTGAGGAAAAAATGAATAAGTATTCTGTAAACTTCTCAAAATCTTTATTACTTTCATAAGCAGTGCCATTACAAGGTATTGTTTATCATACTATGTACTCAAGTGAAATGAATGTTAATCAAATTAACTTTCTAGAAATAAAAATCTGTTGCAAAGAGGCACGCCTTGTTGCAAGATATGTTAAAGAAGTTTTTATTATACTGAAGGCTTATGGTATGGGCCATAAGCCATTCAGGAGATAGTCTCCTCACATGGAATAACGGTAATTTATCCTGTTTAGAAGTGAATAACAACTCTTTAGTAGTGTTGCTGGTAAAAAAAGAAAAGAAAAAAACAAACAAACAAGTTCAAAATATGATGGCAACACACAAAAGTGACCGATAGTTTTGGTCTTTGTTTTAGGGGTACAGTCTGTATAGTTTAATGAAGACTGGCTTTGAATCTTCATTTCAAAAGCATACTTCCTTCCTGCCCTATTGATACCATCCCAGAGAGCCGAATCCAAACCATCAACTTAAAAAGGATATAGCTCAATGAGGGAAGTAGTAACTGATTTACACAAAAGATTAGGAAGCAAAATCATTATTGAAGTATTTGAAATCACAAGAAATTTAAAAATTCAGTACTTTGAAAATTTCCCCCTGAGCTATGGATACTTTTTCTATATAGTTGCTAGTAAAACAGATACATTCTAGCATTCCAAGTTGTACTTATAAATATTATGATGCTTGGTGCTAAAAACAGATGTTATGTCTTAGCACAAAATGGCAGCAATAACGTTTCATAAAAATCTTTGGTGAGATGCAAGCCTGCAGAAGCCACCTTATTTTGTTTCTCTCCTCCCTCCTGATACTCTTAGAATCTTCAAGTAATTTTCAGAGGAGAAACCACAAGACCATAATGAAGGACCAGAAGACCATCCTGAAAAGAAATAAAAGTGTTTTGCAGTTATTTGAAATAGTTATGTAAATAATCAAATCAAAGATGGTTTGTTTTTCATAACCCAACACTAATGTGAAATTCTTTAAAGGGTATAAAGGGTCCAAGATACATAAACTTGCTTATTCACTCACCTCATCACCTACATTCCCTGTCAATATGCCTTTTAATAACTCTCAGGAGACAATTCTGAAACTACCAGGTATCCCTAGTTAGCCCGAGTTGTTTATGGCTAAACAGTCCTCCAAAAAGAACGAAAAGAAATACGCCCTTCCTTCTACACAGACTAAACAGACCATCCAGGCATTGGGCTTCCCTAAAAAAAGACTCAATTATTAGCAAGCATCATGGATCTGCTAAATATTCATTTCCACATAAATGCAGCTCACTAATAGTATAAGTGGGAAAACTTTGGAACTCTTATCCATTAAATATATCATGTAGTTTACTTCTTCCTTAAAAACTGTTCAGTACAATTTAACTTTTGATATCTAGAGTCTTCATTATGAACAGTAATTATACTGTGTTGTAACACAGCGATGTCCTAACTCAGGGGGTGTTGGAAAACTTAACCCTATACTAAATGACTCCAGATACTGTACTTCTGAGTCTTTTTATCTGCTTTTTTTGGTCTATCTCCTATCGTATTATCAGGTCCTAATTCTTTGTGTTCTTACCAAGGCTGCAATCCAGCAAGCAATCCAACTTTTTAAAGTACTATTTTCTAATCTATTATGAAACTAGCTTTAAAAAAAAAGACAGACTCATTGGGAAAGTGTGCCACAAGCAATTGGCCTACTTTGAGCAACAAAGAAGAGGAGTGACGGCATGCATGCCTTGCATTTCCAATCCTGCTCTAGCTCTTACTCTTTTTCTTCTTTGCTAAGCTTTTCCATGGCTCTACTTCCTTATTTCTCATTCACCGCTCAACTCATTGCAATGTGGTTTCTGTTCCTGGCGACTCTAATGAAAACTCACCAGAATTCTAGAAAAAGATTCACAAATTCAAATGCCCACAAGGGCTAGGAAAGTAACAAATGAACATGTAAGTTAGGTATCTAAGTCAATAAGGAATGTTGAGACCAGCAGTAAATCAGAGAACACATGCCTAGTTAAAGGAATTTAAACTCAAATAATTTAGAACACAAAATAAGCCAAATAAAGCATAATTCCATACCATGTTTGGCCCATGGAGCATCAGATCTGCTCTAGACCAATTAGCCTAATCAAAGTAAATGAATTTGTATTATAACACAAATAGAAAGATTCTATTAACATTTTTATATGAATACAAATTACATTTTAGATAAAAAAAATTTTGCATAATTACATTTCAGAAAGAAACATTTGCAGAACAATATATTGATATGTAGAGATACAAAACTGAAAATACAGCTTACAAGCTATTTCAAAACCACAAAACTTCAATACATTATAAAATCACATTTTATCAGATAATTACTTATAATTCAAATTTATATCTATATGTCCATTATACTTAAATTCCATATAAATGTATATTAATATATAAATATTATTTACTAGAGGCCCAGTGCATGAAATTCATGCATGGGTAGGGTCCCCAGGCCTGGCCAGCGATCACTTGGAGATTTCACATTATACAAAAATGTCCTTGCAGATATATTTGCCCAGTGGTCTTCAGAGTTCTATTGTAGTATGAAGACAGAGAAAAAAGAGCAAAGGCCTCTAGAATCAAACTGTCTGCATTTTGAGCCGTGGCTCACTCACTAACTTACTGTGAGCAAGTTACTACATATCCTTTCTGTAACTTGGCTTCCTCCTATTTAATGAAAATAATTTATATTATATATTAATTATACTTTATTTATTTTTTAAAAATATATTTTTATTGATTTTTTTTACAGAGAGGAAGGGAAAGGGATAGGGAGTTAGAAACATCGATGAGAGAGAAACATTGATCACCTGCCTCCTGCACACTCCCCACTGGGGATGTGCCCGCAACCAAGGTACATGCCCTTGACTGGAATCGAACCTGGGACCCTTCAGTCCGCAGGCCGACGCTCTATGCACTGATCCAAACCGGTCAGGGCATATATTAACTATATTTTATTAAAAAATAAAATAGGATGAAAAGAATACTTATGCCATAGAATTATGAGGAATAAAAGAGCTAATCCATATAAACCATTTAAAAAATTGCCCAACAGTTAGCATTCAATAAATTTTAGTTTATTACTTATAGTGCAGGTAATTTTAAGAAAGTTGTAGAATATTTATTAGAATTTTATTGATAACATGGAACTTTTTTTTTCATCAAATAACTTGCCTGTTAGACACTAAATATGATAAAGTCTAAGACCTACCTGCATTGCTGCATCACCTATAGCACGTCGAATTTCCCTTAGAGTTTGATATCGTTCCAACAAGTGATCGCCACAAATGATATCTACCTACAGGCAAACAAAATATTAGATGCTTTACTGCTTAAAAAAAAAAACCATATGAAAAAATTAGGAAAAATCAACATAATTATTTCCATACTACACTTAGCTGTTTTATTTTAGATGGATCAAACACTCTCAAGAAAGATGTTAGAAACTTTTTATAAGAGTAAATAATGAAAAGAGCAGCAGAGGACATAGCCGGTAACAGCACAGGACAGCCAGTAATCAAAATGATTTCCTCGAATCTCTGAGAACAAGTTAAATCACATTTGATGTATTTAGCAAAATGCGCAGAAAAGTATATTTTTAAATAGTTCCAAGATAAAACTATTAAAAGTGTATTAATGTTTAAAAGGGCAATCTTTATATATTTGAATAATTCTCTTAGAAGGTATATCTCATTTCCCAACAGTGGAAAGTCTAACGGTAAAGCATACATGAAGGGACCTTTTTTATGGATGGAGTAATCTTAATGAGGTCTTTTTAGCCCTTTAGTAATGTGACAGCTCTAAGACAAATCTACTTTTATACAGAATATTCTAGAAAGACTATTGTTATACAGTTATATAGTATAATGTAATAAAATTCCAGTATACTTACTTGCTAAGATAGAAAAGCAAATTTTTAACCTCTCTCTTTCATTGAGTGCTCCTTTCCCACTGCCTTAAATGGGATCAGTTCCTCAACAGTCTTATTACTAATTTTATATATATCTTAATATGCTCCATCTCCTAACATCCTTATTTGGTTTGTGGCATGAAATTTCTCCTGTCCTTTAAGCCAGAATATCACCTCTGATTCTGAAATTTCCTTTTCCTTTCTTCTCACATTCACTCAGTTACCATGTCCTGTTGCCTCTTAGTTCATAATACTTTTTTTTTTGGCAAAATTTTTTGGTTTTATTAACACAAATACAATGTGTGCACAATCTGTCTTTCAGCACTGTCTTCTCTTTTTATTTTGATCTGCCACAAATAATTTTAAAGGTAGTTCATCATTTAACAGTCCTCTAGTAACCATTGATTCCTGCTAGTAAATAACCATATATGAAGGTCAGATGTCTGCAAACAAAGCAAACATTTCCTACCTGGAACGAACTGGTTTAAAGATCAGCATAGCAGGCTCAAGTGACTGGCTACACCAAGAATTTTACGTTAATGGTTAACTAGCTCCATGTTTTGCTTAAAATAGAAGTAACTCTTTTTACTTCTTTTGTATTTAGAAGGTTTAATAATTTTAGACATAAGTTAACAAGTCTGCATATTTGACAATTCTGTTCCATTATTTTAACATTTTGGTGAAACAGTAATTTATGAATGTTACCAGTTGTATAGTACCTGAATAAAAAAGAAATATTTACCTACAGAGCCAAGAGCTGACAAAGAAAATTAAAGGTTGAACAAATTTTTTATCATTTTATTTCAAAATGCTAAAAGCCTTGAATTCTATGATATGAAGAAAAAAAAATCACACTTTTACACAATATAACCAATTTAGAGCTCTGGCAACTAAATTTCTTAAAACACCAAATGTGAAACTTATAAATGGTAATTATGCTCTGATCAATATCTAGCCAGAGGATATAATCTATATCCTAGAAAAAGCGCTTTTGCATGCTATGTTAATTCTATAAAATCAGGTTCAAGTCTTATGATTTATGCTTTTAGAAACAATAGACTGTTATGGGATTGTTCACAATACTTTGTCCAGAAGTCTCTAAATAGCTAACTATTTTTAACCAAAAGACTAAGAATAACCTCAAATATGTTATGGCTACAACGTGAAAAACTTCAGATGCATGAGATAAGCCAGCATTATGTCAAGCTCAGTAAGAGAAGTCACATTTCATTGGATTTAATATATTTAATATATACTTAGTAGAATTGATATTGGTAGTAAAAACACCAGCAAAATTTCAGCCAGCTTTAAAATATCTATTAATTTACTAAAGAGCAAATAGACATTTTAAATAAAAATTATTCTATGAAATTTTACACATGATGAACAAAAATCCCTTTTAAATTTGACTAATGCAACAGCAAAATTATACAAATGTGCATTTTCACTGGCCCACATTAGATCTATGAGTATAATTACACTTTATGTTAAAAAATACATTAGGATTGAGGTTTTCATTTTACAACAACAAGAAAGTATTATATAGTTAGAATGGGAAATACTCTCAATCCTTAAAAAAAATGAATAGGGTCTATAATAGATAGGTATTTCACTTTTCTAGGTGTCTTATATATGGTATCAATGGCAGGGAGAAATAGACAGTAAGTCAAATGTGATTGAAGCTGGCATGGGAATACTGAGTACCAGTATCAGTTGGAATATACAATATCTACAATATCATAAGACAAAAGCCACTGCATGAAATCCTAGAGACAATTCTTTCTAAGGTAATCTCACATCTTTACCTGTCCTTTTACACAGATGTACCCTACCTGACAAGCTGGATCAAGATCCATTTTTCTTCTGAGAAACTTTTCTACATGCCCAATAGTTGCCTCTCCTGAAACTCGGACAAACTTCTTTTCCAATGGCTACAAAAAATAAACGCATGAGTAAACAAATATTTTCAGATACATAAATGTAAAAACCCTAAAGCAGATTTTATAGCAAAGATGATTCAACAGATTTATGAAAATTACTACAAAATTTGAGTTCATTTATCTGTCAAAGAAAAAAACAACTTTCTGTTTAATTTTCCCTCTCTGAAAGGTATACTAACACTTTTTTAATAGAAAGGTTTACTGGTTTATTTTACTACCTCATCAACAATAAAACGTAAAGGGAAATTTATTGACAGAGTGACATTAAATGTCTAAAACCTGGTGTCTTCAACAAAAAGGTTCTAAGGAAAAAAAAGATGAAGGCGAAACTGCTAGACTAAAAAAAGATGCAAGGGTTATAAATAAGAGATATATCAACCAATCACTAGTATAATGTATGAATCTTATTTGGAGCCTGATTTAAACTAATCTATAAAACAATTTTAATGAGACAATGTAGGAAATTTAAATAGAATGTGGATATTTGATTAAGGTATTACTATTAATTTTTAAAATATTAGTATCATTATTATGTTTATAAAAAGTTCTTGTCTTTTAGAAACAAACTGAATTATACACTGAGATATAGTCTGGGATTTGCTTCAAAATATATGAGAATAAGAGAAGTGGTGAAGGCATAGATAAAATGAGATTGGCAATAAGTTTATAACGATTTGAGTGATGTCTAATATGGGTATTTATTATACTACTAGAGGCCTGATGCATGAAAATTCATGCAAGGGGCTTGACCCCCACCACTGCGGTGGCTGCCTTGGCCCTGCAGCCCCAGCTTCATCCGGAAGGTCGTCCGGTTTAATTAGCATATTATGCTTTTATTATTATAGATTCTGTCTACTTTTGTATGTTTGAAATTTTGTGTAATAAAGAGCTTTCTTTTGTAAGTGGAAAAATAAAAAGATTAACATCTAGACATACATGGCTGGAATCTGGTCTGAGGTAACAGGTGGAAAGACCACAGAGTTTTAACATAGAAACTAATACTTATCCAGTCACTCTCTTTGAGGACATTTTAAGGATTCTATCTAATGCAAATGAAAAGTCGAGGTAATCCGAACTAAAAAACTTGAGCAGTGTTTTTCTGGCACTAGCAGAGAGGGTGTCCAGAATGGCTACCAAGAGAATCTAGGCAGGTGACGCATATGTTTTTTTTTTCCCTATGACAGTGCTCAGCTTTCTTTTCTTTTAATTATGTATCTTCTTTTAAAATATATATTTTTATTGATTTCAGAGAGGAAGGGAGAGGGAGAGAGAGATAGAAACCATGATGAGAGAATCATTGTTTGGCTGTCTCCTGCATGCCCCCTACTGGGGGATCGAGCCCACAACCGGGCATGTGCCCAGACAGGGAATTGAACTGCCAACCTCTCATTGCACAGGCGGATGTCCCATTCAACTGAGCCACACCAGCCAGGGCTGTAGTCCGACGCTCTATCCACTGAGCCAAACCGGTTTCGGCAGAGCTATCTCTTCTTACCTTAGTGTAGCAGATAGTATAGATGTTAAGTGCAGATATTCCAAAGACAGGCTGACTACCTGGGTTTAAACCCTGGTTCTGTAATTTTCTAACTATAAATCTTTGGGTAAGTTGTTGAACCTTTCTGCGCCTCCATGTTCCCATTTGTAAATAGGGATAATGGCTCTATCTCATAGAATTATCATGAGGAAAGTAATATGATGTATGTAACAATTCCTGGCAGTGTTTTTCTGGCACCAGCAGAGAGGGTGCCCAGAATAGGAAGCATTTAAGAGTTATTGCTAATGAAGGATCATATATTGCACTTTATTGTCATATTTCTGTCATCGCCTTTAATCTAGAATAGTTCTGACACTGTATTTTTATGTTTCATGATACTGCATATTTGTAACTTTTTTTTGGTATGATACATGGTCATTAAAAAAAGATATTTTTTAAGAATACTGAAATATTTACAAATGAAGTAGCAAAATGATAGGGATTTGTTACAGAATACCAGAAGGAAGGTAAGTAGATAGAGGTATATGACATTAAATTGGTCATAGTTTATTGGTAAAGCTAGGTGATGGATACATGAAAGTTTTATTTTGCCTACTTTTCAGTATGTTAAGATATTTGCATAATTAAAAGCTTAAAAACTTTCCTAAACTAAATTACTGCTTTTAAAATATATATTTTATTGATTTTTTTCAGAGAGGAAGGGAGAGGAATAGAGAGTTAGAAACGTCCATGAGAGAGAAGCATCGATCAGCTGCCTCCTAACACCCTCTACCGGGGATGTGCCTGCAACCAAGGTACATGCCCTTGACCGGAATCGAACCTGGGACCCTTTAGTCCGCAGGCTGACGCTCTATCCACTGAGCCAAACCGGTTAGGGCTAAATTACTGCTTTTAAGTTGAACAAATAGGTTTATAATTTTCATGCTATAGATTCATTTTAGTCAGATATATTTATTTGAATTCAAAGATAAGATATAAACACATCTTTTTAGGTAGTAGAGAATACTGAGTTATCAAAATCTATAACTAGAACTCCACTATAAATATAGGATTAAAAGAAAAACAATAAGCTTGCCAAGTTACAAGTTGGGGCAGGTTAACTTGAGCTAAAAATGTTACATGCAAATGAAATTTTAAGCTCATACTTAACTCTAAATGCCAACTATGTAAAAAATGCTTTGAAACATTTTTTATCACCAAATTAAGATAACATTTATCTTTAGACTTTTGAGTTACTCACTTATTCTTCCTTAGACTAGTCTGAATTAATAACAATTTCCTACTTAATAAGTATTTTCTCATAAACCAATTGTGAGAGCATTACTGAATGTACTTCATATTTCAAAAACTTTTATTTATAAAACACTCTTTATTGCAATTGAAGACAATCACCATACGATTGCATATCTGATTCTTAAACTTGTTACAGGGTCCTCTTGTAAAATAAACAAAAAAAAAAGGAAAATACCTTAAAATGTCCTGTGCCTTCATTAGCACTGAAAAATGAAAGCAAAATTAATCAGTAAAATACTTTAAACTATATGTTTAACCACCTAACACAGAAAAATAACATATATATAAACATTTAAAGAACATCACTTTAATTTTAAAACATGGATACCTAACCCTGTAGGATATAAACAAATGTAGTTGTCATTTCTGCCACCTAGTGGTAAAGAAAGGCAGTGGTACTTTATACTACTTTGTTTTTGTTTTGTTTTTTAAATATTTTTATTGATTTCAGAGAGAAAGGGAGAGGGAGATAGAAACATCAATGAGAGAGAATCACTGATCAGCTGCCTCCTTCACGCCCCCCACTGGGGATCAAGCCCACAACCTGGGCATGTGCATTGACCAGGAATTGAACTGTGACTGCCTAGTTCATAGGTTGACACTTAACCTGAGCCACACTGGCGGGGCTATACTACTTCGTCTATTTCCAGGAGGTAAAATGAAATTCTTTTTTTCTTTTCTTTATTTTTATTTATTTATTTTTGTGGCTCCCCTTTATTGAAAAACCCATTCCATTATCTCTGTGCTTCTTTTCTGGCAAAGCTGTGGGAACATGCAATAGTATCTTATAGGAGTTTCCAATTTCAGAACTACTAAAGTTGTTAGATTTGGACATATCAAAACTCTTATTATATGTCCTTGCACTGGATCTGGCTAGTAATGCAGCTTTGCATGGTGCATCAACAGCTTTGGGGAAGTCATGGTTATTTATTAGAAATCTGCCGGGGTCCAACCCCAGCAGGTCCAGGGGTCCCCAAAGGTGTGGATGGAGTCGGCGAAGAAGGAATTACACAGAGACAGCGTTCAGTTGATCAGCAGCCTAGCCAGGATCTCTAGCCAGGTTCTGTGTCCATGTTCTCTTGCTAGGTTTTCCAGCCAGGTTCTGTCCAGGTTCTCCAGCCAGGTTCTGTCCAGGTATTTCTGTAGCCAGGATCTATCCAGGATCTTTTGCCATGTTCTCTCGCTAGGTTCTGTCTTTAGCTTCTGTATCCTGTTGATGGGGAAACAACCTTTCTCGGAGAGGTGACCTTGGTTAAAACACATAGCGCCAAGAAGGTGAGCAAACATATTAAGAACAGTATGCCATATGCGCCAGGTCCCTTGAAATATATGCTGTGCAGATGTTTCTTCCCTGCAGCGACTGTGTCAAGCAGCAAGGATGGACCGGCTCCCAGCAGAAATCTTAACTTCTTAGGATATCTACATATATAAAAGGCTAATATGCTAAGTGTCCAATTGTCCGACTGGTCGCTATGATCTGCGCTGACCACCAAGGGGCAGACGCTCAACTCAGGAGCTGCCGAGCTGCAGTTGACTTGGCAGCGGTGGTTCTCAGGTGGCACACCCTGAAACCGGAGAGAAGGGAAACCGATTCCTCGTGGGGCTGCATGATTCCACCTTCAGCTGTGGGTTATGCTGTTGCTGGGGAACTGTTGATCCCAAGTCTGGTTTTCTGCACTCTTGTGTTTGCTTTCCACACCCTGTACAACAGCAACTTTGCAGAGTGCCCTCTCGCATGTGGCTCGCAAGCCGCAGTTTGCTGACCACTGTCCTAGTGCGTTGAGTTGACGCTCAACCACTGAGCCACACCGTCCAGGCCATTTCAAGTTTTTAAATGGGCAAAAACAATTCTATATATTGCTTGGGAATAGATACACTGGAAAATACATAAAAAATGCAGGGGAATGACAAGCATTACTTTTAGGAGTGTGGTTATTAAACTCTAAGGGAAAGGAGAGTGAACAGGAACAGGTAGCCAAGAGGTTTCTACCACCTTAGCATGGTTTATTTCTTTTATTTTTATTTTTTAAATATATTTTATTGATTGTTTTACAGAGAGGAAGGATGAGGGATAGAGAGTTAGAAACATCGATGAGAGAGAAACATTGATCAGCTGCCTCCTGCACAACCCCTACTGGGGATGTGCCCGCAACCAAGGTACATGCCCCAGACTGGAATTGAACCTGAGACCATTCAGTCTGCAGGCCGACGCTCTATCCACTGAGCCAAACTCGTTAGGGCATGGTTTATTTCTTAAGCCCAATGGTGGAGATACAAGTGGGTATTAGATCTTTTTCTAAGTCTTAAATATTTCATAAATAATTTTTAAAAGGAAATCAGAAAAATTTGATTTTACTTAAATTCAGGATGATTTCGTAACAGTTGGGACTTTAAACATTTTTTATTTTAAGGTTAAGAGGTAGAAAGGTTTAGGGTACTCACCCAATGAATTCTAGTAATAAAGACATATCAAGTTCAGGTGGAATCCGAAACACCGATTCTAAGGCTTTTTTAGATCTCCCTTTGCTTGATGGGACTGGCTGTGGAACAGCTATTTGGTAGCCAAACAAAAAAGCTGAGTTAGAATAAAAATTTCATAAATTGAGATCTCTGAAAAGTAATTGCACAGGTATTATAACTATGTTGACTACAAGATCATAAAGAACTCAATCTATAGCCAGTGAAATTAGAGGCAAGCCTGGGGACCAATCCACAATGGAAGGCAGACATGACATGTGCGGCTGGTTTATCAGGACCAGAGAGAGAGAACTCATCGTAACGGCAACAGTTGTAAATAACCCTAAACAAGCACTATGTGCCAGGGGGCTCAGGACTCATTCATGCTCAGCACTTTATATACATCATTTCATTTAATCCTTGTTATAATTCCATGGCATGGATACTATTGCTACTTCTTTTTTTTTAACTGTAAAGAAACAGAGATTACCGTTTAGTGAGATTAGGCAATTTGCCTAAAGTCATCCACATAGTAAGTGGAAGAACCCGGACTTAAACTCAAATCCACCTCACTTCCATACTGTGACATTACCATCATCATTAAAACTAATGTTTGAGCAGTTACTATGTTCCAGGCACTGTTTTAAGTGCTTTGTATTGAGGAAACTGAGACGCTGAAGTAATTTGCCAAAGTCATACAGCTAACATGGTAGAGTTGGGATTAAACTCAGACAATGCAGCTCCAGAGCTTGTACTTTTTAATTCTTATAAATAATTAAATAGGTTTATACCATATCATTACCTTTAAAATGTATCTCTCTTTGATCATAAAATAACCTGCTATCATTAAGGTGTTCTTTAATGTATAAATACATGATAGTATACACCCAAACTTACCAGGTTTAGGTACTTCTAGACCTCTTTCTTTATAGAAATCATGCATTTGCTTTTTTTCTCCTAAAAAATGATAAAACACAGACTAAATTACACTTTAAATGTAACTAGCAGAGTCAGTAGAGATTCCGGGATTCATAACTATGTAATAAAATAAACTTACTTTCCTCTAGATCGATCACTAATTTGTACACTATGTCTTGTAACTGCCGGTCCAACCTAATAAAAGGAAAGGATGGAGAATACCTCAGAATTCAGAAAAACGCATTTTGGTACAGAGTGAATGATGCTTTGTAAGTACTGTTTTCTCTTGGGAGTGGGTATCTCCTTTCTTAGAGGTGAGTTACTTTTAAGTCGCACTCATGGCTCTCAACTAAGAGAAACTCAAGTAATTATATGTAATCATAATTATAAGTAATCAAAGATTCTTCAACAGTTTGCTAAATTGTTCCATGTGTGCTGTTTTTATTCCCTTGATAAGAATGTAAGCTTAAAGGCAGATACTGTATTTTGAACTTCTGTGTATCATCTGCAAAGCACTCGTCTATGGAAGTAGTGAAAACGGAATAGTATTTGCTGAACAAACTAAGGCAATCCACGGTTGGTATTTTTCTTTCCTTAGGAAACTGATCATGAACTGAAACTCTGATTAATAAGCCACAATGACCTATGACAGACAGGCTATTCTAAAGAGGCCAGTTTTTTTCAGGTATCACTTTTAGAAAGTAGAATTCTAAATATACTGAAAATGACAAGCCTAAACTGGCCTCATTAACTTGAGTGATGCAATTAAAATCTTCAGGAAAAAAAATTCCCATGCTTCCTTTTTTTAAAAAAATTAAGTCCCCAGCAGATATCACAGTGCCTGGTACACAGTAAGTACTCTATATATGTGTTTCTTTAAAGAATAGATAGTTTCCTTTCTTCTAATTTTACAATGGGTCAAGAATATATTCCCCAAAACACAACTTCAAGCTATTCGAAAAAGTATACTTAAAAATATAAATTGCACTTATAGATTCCTCTTACCTTATGTTATAAAGCGGTTGTGTCTGATGTACTACTATGTTGCATTTTGGACATCTGTTGCTATAGTAAAAATGTCTTACAATGCAGCTTTTACAAACTGTTGGAAAAAAATGTTTACATTAGGATGCTTTCAAGACATTTCAAAATTTGAATATATTATTCAGAAACGTGTACAATATGCTTACATGTATGAAGACATTCTGTAATGGTAGTTGCATCTATTAAGTAACCTTTGCAGATGGAACACAAGATGTATGGGGTCAGCTCAGAGAGATTAATCAGGCGCTGCAAATGCAATGGAAATAGTTTTAAAATACAAGTCCTTGCCTTCTCAAGTTTTATTTTGTTTATTGGTTTCAGAGGGAGAGAAACAGATTTGTTGTTCCACTGATTTATACATTCACTGACTGCTTCTTGTATGTGCCCTGACCGAACTCTAACCCGAAACCTTGGCATTAGCGCGAGGACACCCTGGCCAATTGAGTTACCTGTCGAGGGCCCACCTTCTTAAATTTTAAAACCATCATCCCACAATTTCCTTATAACCAATATGTAACTTACTTTGCAACATAAAAACATGTTACAGTGCCTCCAACCCTTCAAAGGGCTGCAAGTTACAATAACACGATATAAACCAATGTTTCAAATACACCCCGTTCCTTTGGATATACCGTGTTTTGCCGGATGAGGGGCATTTTACTTTATGAGTTACTTTACACATGGGCAAACTTTCCAGATACGGAGGCTTGAGTTTAACACAGTAATTCTGATTGGCTAGGTGCACTATTACCCAACGTGAAGAAGTATGCGCTATCACATTAAAAAAAAAAAAATCTCCTTAATAAAAGACTGGCTAGGTGGCGAAGGGTTTGCCCGGACTGGGAGCTCCTGGGTGGCAGGAGCGCGGTATCCCGGGCGCCCACCCGCCTGGCACGCAGT